GGTGTATACGTATGCAAAAAAATGAAATAGGAAAATAAATAAGTAAATTATGATGAAAAACAGAATTTAAATGTTCGATTCGAAAATAAACAATTCTCTTCCAGGTCAATCTGGCTGAATGTTTCTATCGTCTTGTGCTCGTCTGACTTTGATGAAATAGCAAGAATACATGACGTCATAACATGCTGTCAGAAGTGGGATTTTCCTCACAAACGGGAATTTGGAATAGTAGTCACTAATCAGGAGATACTCCTCTCCTTGGAGGTAGAAAAGGTCAATTCCTATCATAGACCTATTATTAGCCTAATTGTAGGTCTATGGTTCCTCTCGTATGTCACGGTCTTGGCGGAAGTTCTGTTTGTATCTGTGGTTCCTTTTGCTGCCCACTTTGGTGTTTCTGGCATGTTTCACATGTCCTGACCATGTCTTCAGTGTCTTTGTTAATATCTTTCCTGCACACACTTTGTCTTGCTCTCAGTTTGGTTTTCTCTATCCCTATGTGAGGTTCATGCAGTTTGTTCACGACTTCGGATTTCATCTTCCGTGGTAGGATGATTCGGTATCCCTTCAAGAGCACTTCATTTTCAATTGAGATTTCATCTCTGTAGTTCCAATATGACGGCATAGTTGTGGAACATCTTTGATATTTTCTGGCCACCCATTGTAGATTGTCTCTTTCAGGGCACTGAGTTCTGAGTCTGTTTTGGTGTTCTCTGTGATTCGCTGGATGTAGTTATCACTAAACTGAGACAGGATTTCATGGATTTTGATGCGTTGTGTTTCCAAGGGTTTTGTCTCTTCATCTGACACAGACAGTCTTGACAGTGTATCTGCAACACACATATCTGTCCCTGGAATGTACGTGATGGTGAAAGTGTAAGGCTGTAGTCTCAACAGCATCCTCTGCAATCTTGGTGGCGCTGCCTTTAAGTTCTTGACACGAATGGATTGTAGAGGTTTGTGGTCGGATACCATAGTGAATTCTTGTCCATATAGGTATGTGTGGAATCTTTCACATTCTTCTTCTTCTTCTTTTGTTGAGTTAAACAAGAACACCAGTAGAGATCGAAGTTTCAGAGACATGGAGGCTCACAGCATCAGCAGCAAGGAAACTGCAGAGCTTCGTAAATGTATGTCTAAGAAGGATAGTGGGGATCAAGTGGTACGATCGAGT